CAGTACGGTAGCTCCTTCTTCGCCTTCTTTCAGCAATGTCGCCCGCAGCGCATCGTCGGTATGCTGGAGTTATAGGTATCGCACAGCTTCTGGTGCGCAGAGGTGGGATGGAAAGACACAATTGAGCGCCAACGTATCCCCGAATCGGTCGCGGCGTACCTTTGCGAGCTCGACAAGATGGATGGAAGAGGGGAAACCACCCAAGTCGTCGGATCCTATCGCAATGCCACCGCCCGCAGACGACACGAATCCCATCCAGCCACCTCCAACCAGACTATCAGCATCCACACCATCACCAGAAGACCAAGAGCGGTTAGAGCGAAGACTTAACGCTCTATTAGAGGACCAAAAGGCTATCAAAAGAGCAGCTGAAACTTCGGTGGCTGCCTTGACAGATACCCCCGTCCCCGAGGTCAAAGAACCACCTCCACAAGAGCCGGAACCACCCAAGAAAGACGAGTCCTTAGACAACATTGCTCGCGTGCCGGATGAACACCTGCCGTCGCACCAAGAGAAGCAGAGATGGAGCCTTTCCAAGCGCTTCTCCGAGGCCATGGATGAGCTGCTGCCGAAGCTTGCTGTGGTCACGCAAAAGGTCAACACATACACTGGCACCGACTACTCTGGGGTAGAGGCACTCAGGAGGGAGATCAAGGAGCAAGGTACATACACAAGTCGCCTACTATGACGATGCGACAGCTGACACCACACAGAGAAACTCGTCAAAGCCCGCCGCTCAGCCATTGATTCCGCCAAACAAGCCCTCGATACCGCCCTTGCCCACCAAGCTACCTCGCAGAAAGAAGTCGTCGCTCTCCTTGAACGCAAGCATTCCTGGTCAAACGGCGATCTCGAACGCTACATGGCTCTCATCCGCTCCGAACACATCAACGACCAAGCCGTTCGCGAAGCCAAAGACGCCGTCGCAAACGCGGAGAACGCTTTGGAGGATGCGCGAGCACAGCTAGAGAAGAGGGAACGTGCACAATACCATGAAGAGCAAATATGGAGTGATACTATCCGAAGGAACAGTACATGGGTCACGTTTGGCCTCATGGGTGTCAACATCTTCCTGTTGTTATTGAGTCTGGCTATCTTGGAGCCGTGGCGGAGGAGGAGGATGGTCAGGGAGATCAAGAATACCTTGGAGGCACATCAGAAGCTTGCCATGGATGCTGCCACGCCATCGGCCGGTGCTGCAGCAGTTGCATCCGCATCAGCCTCTCGAGGTCTGACGGCGATTGAAGAGGAGATCGACCGGGTCATCGATCATACTGACGCACCTGCAAAAGCCGCGGCGCCGGCAGTATCTGAGGTCATTGAGGAGTCTCCAACAGCTGGTACAAACATTGCATCGCCAGTCGAAGCGGGCCTTATACCAGAGGTCATGCCTGAAGCAGCTGTTGATCCAGTGCCAGCTTCCGTCGTTGCGGAAGCCGAAACCGTCACACCAGAAGAAGAGGCTCTAACACCCGAGGAACGCATAGCTGTCGCTGAGGAAAGTGCACCATCACACGCCGCTCCTCGCTCCAAGCTGGAAAGCTTGCAGCAAAAGGCGAGCTTCATAGCACACGACATTGTGAGCGATCGCGTTATTTCGATGCGACGAATCGATTACACCAGCGCCATTCTTCAAGGTGCTGCGGCGGGAGCTGTTATCACGGCGAGTATAATCGCTATGCTGAGACCGAACTAAGGGTTTGCGTTTTGTACGACTAGACACATGTATCAAAAATGTATATAATTCATCTTGCGAGATGTTGCTATCTGCTAGACCGCTTTATAGCTGTATCTTATGTCGTTTTGCCGAAATCTTTCAAAATGGACACGTTGTTCCAAGAACTTGCCAGTGAAATGGAGAGCGGTGTATGCCTGTGAGCTCCATGGGCTACCAAGTTACCCACTCCGGTTATAATATCGAGAGGAGGGATGGTTCTGTTGCTGAGCCCGAGCTTGCCCATTCAATTACGTATAGAGCATACGTGGGCTGAGCCGGGACGCCTTCTACCAGAGGGATACGGCCGGCGATAGTGAGTATACGTATCGCTCGCACTGCCGCTATTGGAAGCCGTGTGTACCATCAAGTATGCGGCGCGATGTCGCGTCTTCCCTCCTGAGCCCAGTACGCTTTCGCTAGGAGGGTCATAGGTGATTATGCCCAATACGGAGGCACAGACAAGGTGCGTCGCCGAGCATTCAGGAGCGTGCAAAGATGGTACCCGCTATCCAGTAGGCTCGGCATAGTAGGTGGGAGAAGCATGACGAAGATGCGACATGCGCCTACTCGCTCATGTCCTCGCTCTCATTTCCGTCGTCTACTCTAGCAAGCACTTCGCTTTCACGCTGTCTCTCTTTATCCGCCGCCTTCTCCACACTTTGTAGCATCGGCAGCTCTCCAGTACCATCCCAAGCTCTTGCTCTCTTGATGATGTGTTGTGACTGCCGGATAACCTCCTCTTCCGCCTTCTTGATTGTGCCGCTAACTCTTACGACTCTTATTACGACAGGTGTATCGAGGGGCTTGGGGAGGTGGGTAATGTATGTGAGGGCTGCCCAGACCATTTCGTAGTGGTCTCGTGGACACCGTATTATGGCCGTGCTGGTCGAGGGGGAGTAGTAGTTGACTGTGCTATTCGTTAGTAAGGCGATTATGAGGCTCAGAGGAGTGCGCACCCTTCAGACCCGAAGATACCATACCCGAACCATAGTCGCCAAATAAGTCTTCAACTCCATCTCGTATCATGCGTACAATGACGCCCTGTTTGAGAGTATCGGGCGTCGGCGAGTGGATCTGGATGACATCTGGGAGTTGCGTCTTGCTTTTGGCGGGAGGCTCTGGGTATAGGAAGTTGACGACCAGGTAGCGGTTCTTGACGCGAACCATGTTCACTCGAACTGTGTCGGTGTCTCTGTGTAACCGTAGAGTATGCGCGCGCGCCGAACAGTGTGGGGGTGTCGAGGTGCAGTGCAAACGGAATCACCCAAATAAAATGTGACAGGTAGATCCTTGACGCGACGCGATCGCAACCACCACAATTGAAAGGAGAGCAGTCCTCGCAATTGTTACTTGCGACAATCCTCTCGCACGCGCAAGCAGACGCCAAAGCGACTAAAATCACAAGCAACGCCCCATTCATCCATCCATCCACAGCAAGCGCGATCCACGCATTAGCGCATCAGGCGTGAACCGGCTTGGCTATGACGCACATGGCTAGAGGCAGCATCCCCAGCTTTAGTGGCTCTCCTTCCGCAGCTGCACCATCACAGCCAACGGCTACTATCACCACTCAAGACCCACTCCATCACAGCGACCTAGTCTCTCGAGGCCTCATCGCTCTCTCGAAAGCCCCTTCCAACCCTAAGTCGCGCAAACGAGCAAAAGTACCCCCAGCCAAGCGCAGAAGCCCTGGTCTTCCTCCGCCAGCCGTCAACATGGCGTCTTCGTCTTCTTCCACGCCGCTGCTCTAGTACGACATACCTACTGCACAATATATGTTGTGAATAACGTGACTAACAACACTACAGCGCATGCATAGCCCACAACACCACCGTCCTCACCGAACACACCGCCTCGGCCTCTTCAAACGCCTCCTCGCTCGTCTCCCTCGTCCTCCCACGCATCGCCCACGACAAATCCGCCCACAAGACTATCGATCAATCCAAGTTCTTCATTCACTGCCTCGTCAAATCGCCGTCAGACTTCCCTAACAACCAGTCGACAGCTGGCGGCCTTACCTTCCTCGTCATTGCTGAGCGCGACCTCGGCCAGCGCATACCCTTTGGCTTCCTGACAAACCTTGAGAAGAAGTTCTTTGCTGAGTTTGAGCCTGGCAGCACGAATTTCCACGACTTGCCGCCGTACGGATGCGCGAGTTTCAATGGCGCGTTGAAGAGGATGATGGTCGAGCAGGGTGGTACCCAGGCTGGTCAGCAGGATGCGCTAAGAACTGCTCAGCGCGAGATTGAGGGCGTCAGAGAGATAATGACGGAGAACATTGAGCGTGTGCTGGAGAGGGGCGAGCACATGAGTGTGTTGGTCGACAAGACGGGCAGATTGGGCGAGAATGCGCGCGACTTTAGAGTCCGGTCGAGGACGCTTAAGAGGCGAATGTGGTGGAAGAACGTCAAGCTGATGGTGCTGCTGACGCTCGTCGTCATCTTCTTGATCTATCTCTTTGTTGGCTTCGGCTGTGGTCTTCCTGGTAAGTTCACTGCGGATGGCATCTCACGAAGGTGCTCATTATCAGTGTGTACCTGCCTGCCTTGCGTAGACGGTGACACCCTGAAAGCGAACACTTTTGCAGCGGGCGATCTCTCGAACAAAACGCTAACGAACAACAGGTTGGGGACGATGCCTCGGTCATTAAAGTCACGCCGACAAAGGCACGAAACGACGGTTTCCAGATCTGCGACGAGTTTTGATGCGATTACGCAAAGCCTGACGACTTTGCGCGTGGGGAATTTGTTTATTGTATACACCAAGGGCGAGGCGTCTGGCGTCTTCCCTATTACCAGTAGTAATTACTACCTCCATTCCCATTCCATTTTGTGCCCAATTCCATCGACTCCGTACCATGCAGATCCATTTCCATAATGCCCCTAGTTGGCTCTCCGATGATGCACCCCGATACCGATCCAAGTTCCCAACCTCGATGAGGGACCCACCCAACGCCAGAAGAGATCGAAGTAAAAATGAAATAAAGTTCCCCCTCTTAACCCATAGCAGAAGAATAACACCGAGACATGCTGCAGAAAAAATGAAATAGCTTCCCCCCATACTGATGTTGAAAATTTTACATCATACATGTGCCCTTTACCCATATCCAGAACTCCTGTGTAAATGCTTGAGTATCTATCTACAAGATATGTGGATGATGCTCGTCTATAATATGGTATAAACCCGAAAGGAAAGTAGGATGAAGCAGAACTTTTTGTTGCTTTGTTCGTTTCCGTGAAAACCGTCAAACGCCTGCCATGAAATCGTGCGCTGCATGGTTTGACTAGGGAGCCATGACCATGGCGAGAAGCGCCATACGCGTGTACAGGCCATACCTCATCTACATTCACGTTAGCTAGAGTGTTCGGCTGGTGCGCAGTGAGACTTGCCTGTCTGAAGTAGGCCGCCCTGGGGTCGAAGTCCACCTCCTCATTGATCTCGTTGTTCCTGGGCAGCGGGTGCATGACAATCATGTTCGCCTTGGCTCCCTTGAGTAGCTTGTTGTCGATGACGAACGCATCCTTCACTGCCTCGTAGGTGGCGACATCTGGGAAGCGTTCCTTCTGCACACGAGTGCAGTACATGACGTCCGATGAAGCGACGATGTCGTCGGTCAGCTCGGTGGTGACCTTGTTCAACTGACCCCGGGCCTTGAGAGCGTCGGTGACGCCCGAAGGCATGGGCAGGGACGCGGGCGAAACAAGGTTGATGGTGACATCGTAGTGGGAGAGGAGTTCACAAAGGGAGTGAACTGTTCGGCCGTACTTGAGGTCACCGACGAAGGTGATGTTCAGGCCGTTCACTGTACCAAGTTCCTCTCGGATAGTGAAGATGTCGAGAAGAGCCTGAGTCGGGTGCTCGCGGCTGCCGTTACCAGCGTTGATGATTGGCACATCTGAGAACTTGGTAGCGATGTTAATCGACTCCTCGGATGGGTGACGCAGAACAATGGCATCGCCGTAGCAGCCTAGAGTGCGGATCGTGTCGGCGATGGACTCGCCCTTCTGTGTAGACGACACCAACTCGTTGATGACAACCACCTCACCACCGAGACGCTTCATGGCAGCATCGAAAGAAGCAGAGGTTCTAGTCGATGGCTCGCAGAACAGGGTGCAAAGGACACGACCCTTGAGGATGTCAAGGCAGCCCTGACGCTGAGTACCCAGACGCATCTCCTGAGCGATAGTGAACAGCAGATGAAGGTCTGCGCGTGAGAATTGCTTGACCGAGGTGATGTGCTCCCTCTTGAAGGGGGATCTTGCCAGAAGCTGCTGAAGAGACAGCGAGCCGCTGAGCTTGGACATGGGCCCAGACGACGAGTCGTGTGCTCCAGGAGCTGCGGCGAACTCCTGGAAGTCCACCTTGCTGATCTCCATGTCGTAGTGACGAGCAATAGCCTCGATCAACAACTTCGCGTTCTTGACGTTGGTTACTAGAGGAGTCTGGTAGTCCACAGCCATACGACGGGTTTGGTATCCTCTGCTCATGTAGTTGGCGGGTCGACGGAAGCGGTTGCTTGATGGCAGGTTGATGTACAAGTCGATGAGGTTGTTGGACAAGTGCTGAGTGAGCGAGTACTCCTGCTTCTGCTCGTCGTGTTCACCACTGGACAACACTTCCAAGAACTTGACTGGAATACCGTGCTCTTGGATGTAGTCGGCGGTTCCGGCAGTAGCGAAGAGGTTGTAGCCCATCTTGTGCAGACGCTCAATTGAAGGCAACATCTCCAGCTTGTCCTTGAATGAACCAATGGACAGCAGGATGTTCTTCTTCGGCAGCCTGAAGCCGGTGGCGATGAGGCCCTTGATGTAGGCCTCGTACTTGGTGCGACCGAAGCAAGCAACTTCACCAGTAGAAGCCATCTCCACACCGAGGACAGGGTCGGCTCCAGAGAGACGAGAGAAGGAGAACTGAGGAACCTTGACACCAACGTAATCCGCGGGAATGTTGGTGGGAGGGTACTCCGTAACATGCAAGCCTGACATGGCCTTGGTAGCCATCTCGATCAGGTCGACACCCATGACCTTGGAGACGAATGGGAAAGATCGGGACGCGCGGACATTGCACTCAATGACCTTGATCTCGTTGTCCTTGGCAATGAACTGGATGTTGTAGGGTCCAGTTATATTAAGCGCTGCCCCTATCTTTCTGGTGGCGTCCTCGATTTGACGAATGGTCTAAGCATGTTAGTCTAGCTCACGAATCTCTTGTGTATCTGACATACCTCAGGGTCGAGATCTTGCGGTGGCAGGATCAGCGTAGCGTCACCAGAGTGGACACCAGCATTCTCGACGTGCTCAGAGATGAAGTGGCCAATCATGGTTCCGTTGCGGGCGACGGCATCCATCTCAATCTCCTTCGCATTCTCAATGTACTTGGTGATAACGACAGGATGCTCCTTGGATACATCGGCGGCTTGGTTGAGATAGTTGGCCAGATCGTGCTTGGAGTAGACAGTGTTCATGGCAGCTCCAGAGAGGACGTATGAGGGACGAACCAAGACAGGGTAGGATACACGGTCGCAGAACTCCATCGCCTCGTCGATGCTGGTAAGCTCCTTCCAGGCGGGCTGATCGACGTTGATGCGATCCAACATACGAGAGAACTTGTATCGGTTCTCCGCGTTGTCGATCATCTCTGGAGAGGTACCAAGGATCTTGACGTTCATGCGGTGCAGCGGAAGAGCGATATTGTTGGATGTTTGGCCTCCCATGGAAACAATGACGCCGCTGGAGTTCTCCATGGTGTAGATGTCCATAACTGGGTACGATGTCAATGTTTGTCTCATCTGCACGAAGTGCCGTCAGCCTTACCTGTCTCAACGCTGATGTTTTCGAAGTAAAGGCGGTCAGCTTCATCATAGTCGGTAGAAACCTAAATCTATTAGCACGTCGGAATGAGGAAGGGGAAGGGTGGTATGCACCGTCTCTGGGTTCTATCGACTTGTTAGCATTTGAACCTAGCCTGGCGATGTACGATCATGTTTGGAAAGATAAGGAAATTACTTGGCTGTAGCCAGGAGGTGTTCAGTGACGAAGAGAGGGAAGTACGAAATTTGTCGTGATAGCCTGGAAGTATTCGCAGATCCAAGTGGTTTGCGATCGAACCACGAAAATGTCGCGAAGGCACCAGGCTACCTTGTCATATGTCCGGTACAGCTGTTTGGGCTGACAAAGACGCGGGGTAAGATGAAAAATGAGAGTGTAATAGCAAAGGTCAGTACTTACGTAGTTCAACATGACGGTCTTGAAGCCCTGTTCTCTGAGAGTGCGGATAGCGCGAACAGAGCACCAGTCGAATTCGACCGAAGATCCAATACGGTACACACCAGAACCGAGAACCATGACACCCTTGTCGTTAAAGCTAATGTCATGCTCCTTGGCGTTGTACGTCAGGTAGAGGTAGTTGGTCACAGCGGGGAACTCAGCGGCGACTGTATCGATCTGCTTGACGACGGGGAAGATACCAGCATCAACACGCACGCGACGCACGGCAAGCTCGTTAGAAGCCCAGAACTTGGCAAGTTGGCGATCAGAGAAACCCAACTGCTTGGCCTTCTTCAGCAGTGGCATGGTGATGCTGACGGTGTTGTAGCTCGCCATTGACTTCTCAAAGTCACTGAGGGACTTGAGGCGGCTAAGGAACCACTTGTCAATCTGGGTCATTTCCCAGATCTTGTCAACGCTGTAGCCAGCCTTCATGGCGTTGGCGATAGCGAACAGGCGCTGGTCTGAAGGTGTTTGCAGTTCCTGGTCGATCTCCATTAGAGCTGGGGTCTCGTTGAAACCAAGATTGCTGGGGTCGATCTCGCGAATGGCCTTCTGGATGGCTTCTTCGAACGTTCGACCAATACTCATGACCTCACCAACACTCTTCATGGAGGAACCGAGGAGGGTGGATACACGAGTAAACTTCTTCAAGTCCCAACGAGGAATCTTCACAACGACGTAGTCGAGCGATGGCTCGAAGCACGCACAGGTGGAACGTGTGACTGAGTTAGAGATCTCGTTGAGAGGGATGTTCAACCCGAGCTTGGCGGCGACGAAAGCAAGGGGATATCCAGTCGCCTTGGAAGCAAGAGCGGAAGAACGTGACAGACGAGCGTTCACCTCGATGATGCAGTACTCCTTCGAGAATGGGTTCAGTGCGTACTGAATGTTACATTCACCGACAACACCGAGATGGCGGATGACGTTGACAGCGGTCGTTCGGAGCATGTTGTAGTCAGTGTCGGACAGAGTTTGCGAAGGCGCAACGACGATGGAGTCTCCCGTGTGGATACCAAGGGGATCGAAGTTCTCCATGTTGCAGACTGTGATACAGTTGTCTCTGCAGTCTCGGACGACTTCGTATTCGATCTCCTTCCAGCCCTTCATACTGCGCTCGATGAGGATCTGGGGGCTGGCAGCAAAAGCCTTGTTGCAGAGGTCGAGCAGCTCTGGTTCATTGTTGGCAAAACCACTTCCGAGCCCACCAAGAGCGTAGGCAGCACGGACAATGACGGGGAAGCCAATATCCTTGACAACGCGCATAGCCTCTTCTACGTTGTTGGCAGATGCAGACTTGGCGCACTTCTCGCCAATCGACTCCATGCTGCGAGCAAATAGCTCTCGGTCCTCTGTGGTGATGATGGTGTCAATGGGAGTACCGAGAACCTTGACGCCAAGGCCTTCGAATTCATCCTTGAGTTGGATACCAACCTGGAGGGCGGTCTGACCACCAAAGGTTACGTAGATACCGTCAGGTCGCTCCTTTTGGATGATCTTGCGGACGAAGTCTGCGTTGACGGGCAGGAAGTAAACCTTATCGGCAAGGCCCTTGGAAGTTTGAATAGTAGCGATGTTGGGGTTGATCAGGATGGTGTAGATTCCTTCTTCCTTCAAAGCCTTGATCGCCTGACTACCAGAGTAATCGAACTCTCCAGCCTGGCCAATGCTCAAACCTCCACTGCCGAGAACGAGCACCTTCTTCACGTCGACCCTGGGTGTGAGCTTTTTGTTCTCCTCAAAGGTGCCACCGGGGAATTCAACAGGCTTTGACAAGACTTCAGATGATGTCATGGCCTTCTGGATAGTGCTGATGAAGACATCGAAGAGGTACTCGGTGTCGCGGGGACCGGGAGTGTGCTCAGGGTGGAATTGCACACTGAAGTAGGGCCTGCGCTCGTGTCGGATTCCCTCGTTGCTACCATCGTTGGCGTTGACAAAGAGTTCCTCCCAGCCGTTGGGCAGTGTCTTGGAGTCTACGGCGTAACCGTGGTTTTGCGATGTGATGTGGCACTTGCCAGTAAGCAAGCTGGTGCAGGGAATGTTGGCACCGCGGTTACCGAACTTCATCTTGACTGTGTCGGCGCCAGCAGCTCGTGCGAGCAATTGGTGACCAAGACAGATACCGAAGATGGGTGTGCGGGCTTCGTCCATGGCAGTCTTGATGTGCTTGACGGTGGAGTCCATCATGGCTGGGTCACCGGGACCGTTGGAGATGAAAAGACCATCGTAGTCCTTGCCAGCAAGCTGAGGGAAGTCGTAGTCCCAGGGCACTTGCAGAACTTCGACTCCTCTCCGCACCAAGCACCTGAGCTGGTTGTATTTGAGACCGACGTCAACGGTGACGACACGTACGGGGCGGCCGGAGGGATGCTTGAGGGCAGTGGCAGGGTCGGGCTTGTAGAGCTTGGGTTCCTTGATGGAGACTGTGCATGTGTTAGCGCGAATCTCTACGCGAGTTTGCGTGTTGTTTACCTTCAGCGACCAAGTTCTTCTGGTTGGGGTCGAGCCATTCGATTTGCTCGAAGCTGCTCCTCCAGTCCACCTCATCATCAGCGAGAGTTTGGGTGTTCACAGCGCCGTTGGTGAGGGTGGTGGAGGAGGGTGATGGTCCGGTCCTCTGCATGAGGCGTCCCAACATGCTTCCCTCCTCTCGGATGCGCTTGGTCAGCGCTCGCGTGTCGACGCCGGTGATGGCGGGCACGCCCTGCTCCTTGAGCCATGCACCCAGCGAAGAGGTGGCCAAGTGATGCGAGTATTCCTCGCCGGCGTATGTAGCGACTACCAAACCCGCAATGTGGATCTCGTTGGATTCAAAGTGGGCCGGGATGCCCTCGAGAAGGCTGTCCATCTCTTCCCGCGATGGCACACCATAGTTGCCGACTAGAGGGAATGTGATGACCAAGATCTGGCCGCGGTAGGAGGGGTCGGTGATAGACTCAGGGTAGCCCACCATGCCCGTCTGGAAGACAAGCTCTCCGGAAATGCTCTTGTCCGCACCGAAGCTGTTTCCGAAGCAGACGTAGCCATCTTGAAGCTCGAGAGCCAAGTCGTGGCTTTGGTCGGGCTGGGGAGCCATAATTGAGGGTATAAGTGACAGCTCTAGGGCTATGGTACCCTTGAGAAGCGAGACTGCCAGGCAATTGTAGAGAAGAGAAGAAGTGAAGCCTCAGAAAAAAAAAGTTCGGAGCCTCACAGCAACGAAAAAACGTGAGTAGCCTAGCTGCCGCTGCATGGCGGGGTTGATTGGTCTGCCCCCCACCTTAGCGAATGACGAGTTAGTCGGCCTTTCTGTGGCTCGCCGAGCATTTTGACCAAAACTCTGGTAGTGAAGAAAATATTTTACGTTGATCTCTATCGGAGGTTGATCTCTATCGGAGGTTGATCTCTATCGGAGGTTGATCTCCTCATCGTGCTGCTCAGAAGTGCTGAAGACGCCGTCGTAACGAATTTCTACCCTTGCCATGGATGGCTTTGCAACAGAGTAAGCAACCCCAAGGCTCGAACGGGCGAATGTCACATGCATTTGCGTCGAGATCAGCGCGCATGCAAATCTACAACAAAGAGTTCGTGGGCGAGGACGCGCATGGCGGTGTGAAGACGAAGTGCATGTTTCGCCAAAGCTGCCAATCGTGCGTAGCGGGAACATCTTTAACGAGGTGGAGCGGTAAATGATCTGCACAGATCCAACGGCTCGCTCATGCGAGATGCCGTCACCGTCTGTCGTGCCTGTACACGCAAAGGCATCTGTGAGGATACGTGCTGCTATCGCAGACTCTGGTGATGGTGATGGTGTTTTCCAGTCCGACAGCGGCTAGATGACAAATACGATCTAGCAATTATCGAAAAGACATGCAGGGCCACAAGCCTCGCCCTAGACGCGAGCGGCAGGGTAGCTGTCAGGGTATTTATCGATCGAGATTGTCTAGATGCCTTTAGATCGCGGGATTCTTGACCGCATCAGACCGCATCGTGGGGGCTATGAGCGATGCATCCTGCATCAGATGAGATGAGGGCTGATGGTGGGAGACTTGAGCAGCTCGTCTCTGGTGTGGTGACAGAGGGCGAGGGCAGACTACCTGCATCAGGCATGTGGAGGAGGATCTGAGGTATTATATGTAGGCAGTCTGCACCCCAGAGTGCTAGCATACCCACTTCAGGGCAATCGTCGCGATGACGACTTTTAAAAGTCTCACATGGCATTCTAGACATGCTTTTGGCGGCGCCCCGCGTTGCAGGGCCTGTCGGCATGTGGTCGACGGGCGCGTCTATTGGCTGCAGACGCGTCTGGGAGAGGGACGACGCGCGATAAGGATCGAGCCTTTCCCTTCTGCATCTTCTGTCGACGGCGACGAGGGCGCATGACGGGCTAGAGTTCGCAGGCGGTGAGGTCGGCGTGGCACGAAAGCAGGCAAGAGCCCTTTTCACGATCCTCCTGCTTGTGCTTCATTTCCCGTCGGTGATGAAACCTCGCACTCCCCACCCGACTCGCACCCCGTCCCTCTCCCCTACCTACGCCGACGCTGACGAGGAATCCCGTTTCCTTTAGAGGCTCGAGGTAGTGACATGTTCGCCTCATTCTTCCGCCAAAAGTCACGCCGGCCCTCTGAGACGACACCTCTGCTTGCGGCTATCCAACGCTACCGCCGCCGCCAGAATGGACAGGACTCGGAAGACGACGAGGACGAGCAGGATGCCCTAGCGCAGTATGAGGGCGAGGACGACGACGAAGACGAAGACCGCCAGCGGGATGGACCCTTGCTGCCCGTCTTTTCTTCTGAAGTTTTGGGTAGGCGCACAAATATGCTTGCTTCTGCATCGCACTGACAGGACCCCAGATCGCATACCCATTTACAACACCACGCATGCGATCCGCATAATCCTCGTCCAGCGATGCGAAACCACGTTATCATGGGACCAGCTGCGCTCCCCGCAGGTGTCGCAGTTCCTCGTCAAGCCCATCCAGCAGCAGATTCGCTCCGACCAGTTCTCGCGCGGTCTCCTGTACTGCCTGCTCGCCAACTGCCTACAGTTCAAGAAGGAGGGAGAGGAGAATCCAGGCAATGTGGGCGTCAGTAAGACGCGGGCGCTCATATGCGAGCTGCTGGCTATGCGCCTGCTCAAGGAGTTCTCCACGCGCGAGCTCATCGATGCCCTCTCCTACGACTTCGACCCGCTCCAGGGCATGATGGTGCAGGGACGCGGGAACAACACCCCCGGCGGCGCAAACTGGTCGCGACAGGCCTACCGATCTGCGCGCATCTCCACCCTAGAGATCGCCATTCGCGCCCAGGCCAAGAAGTTCCTCGCCCATCCTCTGGTAGTACGCCAGCTGGAAGCCATCTGGGCCGGCACCATCGTCTTCCACTCCGCAGCCGACAATCTACACCGGAAGCCAGACTCCCCTCAACAGCGTGGGTACAACACCCGCGATGATGCCTCCCCGCGAACAGGCCCGTCTCGTCGCATGTCGCCCACCAAGCCAGCGCCTCCACTCCCGCCGCCCGCAGCGCTCCTCCGGCGTACAGTGACCCTCTACGATCCCCACGATGCCTCCCTCTTCAAGCTCTCCCGTCTTCGTGTTCCCCGCTACCGCAACCTGTTCTCGACTCTCTCCTTCGCCATTATGCTCGGCCTTTTCTTGGCGGTGCTGGCTGAGAAGTCAGAGGACATCACAGCCCTCGAGGTTCTGTTCTGGTTCTGGAGCGCTGGATACATGCTTGACGAAGTGGTCGGTTTTTCCGAGCAAGGCTTCGGTCTATACATTATGAGTGTATGGAATGCCTTTGACTTGGGTATCCTCCTCATGTTCATGGCCTACTACGTCCTACGCCTTTACGGAATTCTCATGCCCGATGTTAGTCGCCATAGTGTTGCCGCCATGGCATATGACGTACTCGGATCCACCGCTGTCCTACTCTTTCCTCGACTCTTCTCGGCACTGGATCATTACCGATACTTTTCGCAGCTGCTCATCGCCTTTAAGATGATGGCCATGGACTTGGTTGCGATTCTCGTCCTCATTGTGATAAGCTGCAGTGGTTTCTTCGTCGCATTTAGCCTAGCCTTCAAGAGAGATCTTGGTGCGTCAGACGCCGCTTACGCCATTTTCCAGCTGGTCATGGGTTTCACACCCGCCGCTTGGGATCTCTGGGGTGAGGTCAACTTCCTCGGCAAGACTATGCTTGCTCTGTTCCTCTTCATTTGTCACTTCCTTATCGTCACCATCCTGATCACGGTCTTGACAAACTCTTTCATGGCAGTCGTCAAGAATGCCGATGAAGAGCATCAGTTCTTATTTGCAGTCAACACCATTTCCATGGTCAAGTCGGATGCTCTCTTTTCCTACATCCCGCCTACCAACATCATTGGCTGGCTATTGATCCCACTCAAGTACACCATGTCCTTCAAGAAGTTCCTACGTATGAACCGGCTTGTCATCAAGCTGACCCATCTTCCTATTCTGTTCGTAATTTTCTTTTACGAGCGTGTTCTTCTGTCACATCTCTCATACGGTCCAACTGATCTGGTTGAACAACGGGGTCGGGCTGAATCCAAAGCGCCTGTGCCTGCGTTCAGCATTCGAGGCCCTACTGAGCTGTTCAGTCCGCGCTTGCGCGAGCCATCCGTCACTACCTTCCAGAAGGACCAGGCACTCGAGGAGGTGTTCCGGCGACCTTTCCGCGACTCTAGCTTCCAACCGACTCCCCGCTACCCAACACCTAGGAGGAACTCAGGCAATGTCGTATCCGATTGGATGAGGAAAATGGGCGATGACGATGAGAACGAACCACCTCAGGATGACTCTCGATCAGTTTTGGACCGACTTGAAGGGCCCAATAGGCCACATCTTCGGCGAACGAAGACCGCCGGCCAGCCAAGGCGCAGGCACCCACTCGCTACCAGGACGGTGGTTTCTGACCCTGATGACGCTGGGACTCCATTGACCCCAGCTATAGCAGAGGAGGAAGAACCAGATCTGAGTTTGGCTATGGTCATGGAGGAGGTGCCGCAGCAGACGGATGCTGATGGAGACGACGAGGATGACGACGCAAGTTCTGATCAGCAAGTCACTCCACGGATTGAGGCAAGCCAGAAAGACAGCAAGAGGCCTCAGACAGGATACCAATCTTCTGAAGACGAGTCCTTCCAAACACCAATGACTGTCTTGCCCAAGTCGCAAAGCCGTACACCCGCCATCGTGGCGTCGCCCTCTGATTCCAGCTTCAAATCGAAAACGCCTTTGTCCCCTAGCAAGAGGCGATTCAAACCGGGACATGCCCGTAACACTTCCACAAGCACGATCCTCTTCAGCCCTGTCAAGGAGAACATGAACGTTTCCCGCGCTCCATCCCCCGAAAAGCGACCAAGGACAGGCGTTCGCAGTGGAACAGCCACTGGTACGGCCACTCCCGGACGTCTCGACGGTTCGAGTGGCACAGGTGCCAAAACTCCAAAGCGTACTAGTGTCCCACCTCTTGCGGCTCCTTCTCGTCCTCGTGCCATCATGCCACCACGCGGGATATCGTCCAATCTGCTGTCTAGAAGCCACGGAGCACGCGAGCCTTCGTTCAACGCTATTGCCCTGGATCTGGCGTCAGACCTTGGAGACAACAACCTCAACCCCAACTTTGGCAACCTCAACGGACTACCTGCGTCGTTCACCACACAGTTCGAGATGGCTGCTAGGATGAAAGCACACGAGATGCAGAAGGGCAGCGACAACGACTCGGAGTCCAACCGCATGAGCAGAATCATGCTTGCGCGAATGACGACACTCGAGGAAGGCTTCCGCGACATGCTTCAGGAAGTCAAGGGACTCAAGCAAGGCGAGAGTCAGATCGGCAGCCGTGGTACGCAATCGCCACCGAATGAGCTGGCTGCGAAGAAGAAGGGCAAAGCGAAGAAGAAGATGAGTATCCGACGAAGTGACGAGGAGCCAAGAATGGGCTCCAGTTTATAAAGAAGTAATGATGCCGCATGTGGCGCACTGCATATCTCGGTGTTTTGATTATTATCTCGCATGGCTTGCGTTTGATACTTTGGGACTGGCATAACTGTTTCGACGATACCCCATGG